TGAACATCTCGCTTGCATATTAATACCATCTTATATGCCACAGGGCAAGATATAAGAATATTTACAATTGGACCAAAGACTTTCTTCTTACGCAAAGAGGCATACTCCTCCTCAATAGCAGTTTTTCATTTTGACCAATCAAAGCGACGCATTACCTCCTCGATGGTTTGAGGTTCAAGATAGACTTTCTTACAAGAAAAGGCTTCTATAATCATACATGCAAATGATTCATCTACCATAATAGATGGTTTGTCCCAAATATCATCTGTAACACAATATAGAATAGATAATTCTTTATTCAACTTGTTCTTATTCCTTCCAATTCCAAGATTATTTTTCACAAGAATTGAAGATACATTATGCATAGATATATCATCATGAATTGGTAGTCCCGCAAGATGAGTGGCAATTTCTTGAGAAATAATACCAGGATTAGTCAATATTATAGCTTTCTTCTTACATGGTTGCTTATCTAGTCCACGAGTTCTTTTAGTTGTTGTTATTATAACTTGAGATATTGTAGTCAATGGCACTGCAATCTGAGCAGCTGCATTTTGAGCCTCATTAATAGGAACTCTTGTAATTCTACGAATATCATTGAAGCCAGTAGGTGTTTCATTTGCAATCCATTTTAGATAAAAAAAATATTAACAATTTCAATTTTTGCCAAAGATGTCCTAAGATCGAGATTCATTGTAAACATTTTTTGTGCTTTAAATACAAATACTTTGTTTTTTTGTTGATTGGATACTCCTGCTTGAAGAGATGGAAATACATTTTCTTCAAAATGGCAATTTTGCAAACGTATACGTAATAATATGCCAGTTGATGGATCAACAATACGAATAATGCTTGATGAATTAAAACCAACATATATACCTTCTTGTCAATGAGCTCCAATGATACGCCGTTGAGATTCTGGTATTGGAATCCAAGCACAACAATCAAATACTCATAAGTGAGATACATTTGGAACACGACTCAAAATGAGCTCATGTGGTGAAACAATTTCAAGAAAAGAAAGACGGAGGCATATTAATGCTGCAACATGTAAAACTACATGACCCCACATAAATGTACGTAAATTTGCGTGAAGGAGGAATGGCCAGATAATGAGTTGTATATGCTTTATAAATGACTCTTCAAGTCCATTTTGACCATGTTCATATGAAATACAATATATCAATTCAATTTCTGTTGCAGTACAATAGTCTTCAAAAGACTTTGATGCAAATTCTTTTGCATTATCCATATATAATGATTTTATGGAATAATCAAAAAAATATGCCCAAAAATAAATAAGCATAGATATAAGATTGGCAAACACCATGTTTTGAGTTGATAATAATAAAACATGTGATTTTTTACCTGATGCATCAACAAAGGCCAAAAAATAATGAAATGGTCATGATATTTGATTAATAGGACCACAAATATCACCATGCAATCTTTCAAGCATTAGTGGTAATTCTTGTGGGAGTTTCCAAATTGAAGGCCGAGTAATCATCTTAGTTTGTACTCATGCACGACATAATTCCACAGAATCTACATCCGTGGGCTTTAAATTATATCCAATTATATATGCAATGATCTTTCTTAATAACATAGAGCTTGGATGTCCCAATCATCCATGCTAGAGAGAAAAATGACTCTCTGTGATAGATGATGCAAAATTAAATATAATTGGAGACCAAATCACAATTTGGTATAAACCATTTTTTGTAGCAAAAGCTTTTTTAACAACTTTATGGTTCTTCGCAAGAACCAAAACCTCTTTTCTATTTAAAATGGCGGTCAAGAGGTGATAACCATAGATACGCACATCTCGGTAGTTGATCAGACTCTAAAGTAGTAAGGGTGCAAACATTGCATGTTTATATTTTATGATGGAACTTGCAGATAATTTTACTATTGTTGTGCCCTCTTAGAAACAAAACGCATTTTTTCCAGCCATGGTCATCATATTTTTAGTTTGCCAAGTTGAAGATTTTATAATAAAAAATCATCTATCACTCAAGATAGTATGTATTGTTGCAGAATCAATGAGCATATCATTTGATTCATCATTAGAGGTTTTGTCATTCATATAAGCATCTAAGTAATTAACACCAATTGAATCCATTGATGCATCCATGGCATTTCATGAGCCTCAGCTCGTAGTTTCTTATTTTTTTGGAACATTTAAATAAAATATTTTGAAGTATTGGACACATGTGCTAAATGTCCAATCATTCCACACTTATAGTAAGAACGCATCTTTGATTTTTGTTTTCTACTATAATTAATAGTACAATGTTTATTCTTTCCATGTGGATAGAAATGGTCATGACTATGACTACCCTGATACTTATAAGCATGTTTCCATGTTTATATAATTTTTTCTTAGATTTTGAAATATTAAGTGCATGAAATTCTGGAACTGTGGTTCCAATAGAACGAGCTTCCGTATTGTGTAAGAATAGCTCATTTTGCTTCTCCACAAGAAGTAGATAGGACTTGAGATCAGAATGAATCTGAAATTTCATGTTCATGTATTGTTGTGCAAGCACTACAGATACATGAAGAAATGTAGAGAGAGTTTTCTCAATCATTTTTTCTTCAGAGATGCTTTGTTCACATAATCGTAATTGTGAGACAATTTTATACATTTCACTATTGAAAGCATTTAAATTTGGAAATTTAAATTTATAGTAGGACGGCGGCAGCACATTTTGGCGGCAGCAGGTGGCAACAATAGGGCGGCTGCAGCAAGGCGAGGGATGACAATGGCAAGGACCACGACAATTTGCAGTCAGTAGCAATGGCAGGGTCGATAGTTGTTCGGCGATAGTCAACGGTCAGTTTGGTAGCAGGCGCGAAGCACAATAGGAAGGCTAGGCTAGAGCAAGTATTCTAAGCAAGTATTTTAAGTAAGTAGGGCCGAGAATGGAACAAGTACTCTAAGCAAGCAACTAATATGTGAGGGGCCAACAAGAAGTGCAGCAAGATCATGAGGCAGACAATGAGCAAGAGTAGCAATAAGTTTGAAGAATCAAGACTAGAGCAAAAAAAAAATTGTGATAGTGTGTAGAAGAGAGTTGTGCTAATAACGTGTTGAAAATGTTTAGAAAGACACAAGAATAGTATTAAGTAATATATATACACACAAGAGTAATAGTAAGTAATACACACACACATACACACACACACAAGAATAATAGTAAGTAATACACATAAGAGAGTTTTTAAAGAGAGAGAGCTTCACACATAAAAATCTATTGATATGGTTGTGTCTCATATACAAGAGGAGAAAGGGGAGAGGATAGACAGTTCTTCTCCACTACATTTCAAATACTATAGCTATGGTATTTACTGTAGTCTACAGTAAATATTATGGAGAGTGTCAACTATATTATACAGAGCGCCGACTACATTTAATGCTCTCAACAAGTACAAACTACATGAACCTTGAAATTGTCCAAAATCATTACAAACCTTACTGGAATATTTATTAAACAAAAAAGATAAAACACAAAAATAAAATAAAAGAAGAAACAACGATGGAATCAAACAAATAGTCACACAGTAAAATAAGAAAAACAAACAAATAGTCACGTATTCCTGACATGTGAATTTAGAAGTAAGTCGACAAATTGCTCAAATTTAAATTGTTGCTTGGTTCTAATATATTAACATTCTCAATCATGCTACTCGTCACTTTCTTAGGAAGAGAGCTTGCTGCATGTATTCAAGTACTTTTCAATCTTCTCAAAGCAAAAAAAATACGATATTCTAAAATAAAATGCTATAATGAGTGGTGAGATTGTTATTCATTGTTTGCACGGACGCCTAAGCACACATGGTTCGATCTACAAAAATAGTTTCATACAGTGCTGTCGAAGAATGCATCCCTCTTCTGAGGTTTGGAACTTCTAAAACATTCATCAGAACAATATCTCTAAGCAATGCTGTCTTGAAAATTCACTGCACTTCATGCATACGTCCAGGAAAAAAAATCTTCAACATTCAAAGAATGAGAGAAACACATTGTTCGCTTTCATTAATTAATGAACTTGTTCATGAACCTTAATCTTTCAGCCATAGACATTTAGTGCAGTCATCTCTGATCCCGTGGCTACTTTTAATGGGCACTTTGCTCGAATACTGATTGTCATGTTCTTGGTAATCTCAGTGAACGCAAGAAACTACTACCTCACAGGCTTGCTAAACTTCCGTGCCACAAGTCCAAAGAGAATCACAGTATCGCAACTTAACTCAGGAAAGCGATTGCGTAGTACACAGTTCAGAAAACGGCTATGGCTGCTCATGATAATCTCAAATGCAGGCCTCACTTCTAAAAGTGCTCTAGTCATTGCACCTGCCTGTACCTCATTGTGGGTACATGATGAAAGGCTACCCCTGACTTGCCCCAGAGACAGGTTAGTTGGCTGACCCTGAGACTGAAAATTTCTGCGTGAAAACTTGAATTTAAGGTTCATACCAAGGGGACAAAATGAAGTTGAATATGCAATTATTAGTTCGAACGTGGAGGGATAAGCGGGAGGTAACTATTGCCCAGAAGCGAGCAAAGGCCGTCATTTCAAAACAACATATTGACAATGAAAGTATATTACCTTTCTGGAGTTCAAAGATGGTTCTTGCAGTTGTCCTTGCCACCACAAAACAGGTTGAGCTGATAAAGACTCATCACAGCAGTTATGGCAGCCCCTCCATCTTCTCACCTTAAGCCATAGTTCCATTAAAGTGGAAGAGGAACCTAACACTACACCTTCAAGCTTGGGTTTAGCACTCTTTCGATGTCAAAATGTCGATTTTTTTGTTTCGGCTCGAGTTCAAAGCAATATGCGCATTACGGACAGTAACTATATACGTCAAAGTATGAATGATGGACACAGTCGACAGCACCCAAAACGATTCCTATTTCTGACTGCTCGAGGTCGGACACATTTCACATTAAAGAAACAGGAAAAATCAACTAAAATAACTCTTCCAAAAGCATAGACCAGGTAATCAAAGCCGATCAAATTAATTTCAACAGTCTGCCGTGGAAAAACCTACACTAATTAAACTGGATATGTCCTTCCATGCTGAAAACTTCGAGCATGAACCAAAACGTGTCTGAACTTCAGAACATTTTCTCTCATCATACTCAACTAACAACCAACGCCACAAGTAACTTGACCCAGATACCTCTTTGAAATGGGAGCTTAGGTAGACAAGGTGTTGAAAAGGCGCTAAGAAGTTCAATGAACTTCCTAAATTTTTACAAATGGATCAACTTGCACTCCATAGTAAGTGTAATGACCACCATGGGCTTGTTTAGTATAATATACATCTATCTCTTATAACTACATAAACCCAGTTAGGTATATAAGTTCACAGCTACCCTTGAGTTCCTGACCCTGCACCCATAAAACAACGGTATAAACAGATGTCCTGTAATGTCTTCTACAAATCATACTAATTGAAAGTATCCTGAAACGTTTCACTCGGGTTTCGGGAGCTCACACGAGCATTTGAAACCAAAAATAGGACTTGATTAAGTAAATTCAACAGACACATGAACATGTTCACTGCACTTTAGCCGCTGACAAGCATAGACTCATTATAGCATCTAGCCATACCTCAAATAATGATAGGATGTCATTTAACACCCACTGGTAACTAGCTCAACAGCACAGCCAGTGGAGACCTTCGAAGTCCTGGTGATATACCAAGTTGATGAGGCCACTTCCATGTTGCACTAACAAATGTTTGCGCCAATAATGCTTGTTTGGCTAGAGTTTATCCTAGAGTGCTCGATATGCTGCTAACGATTCAAAATGACAAAAATTAGAAACTGAAACACTGTTAAGAGTGAGAGAATTCCCATATAACTGGTTTCTCTAACGCTCAACTCGTTGTAATCCTAATGGGATCCTTGTGGGATCCCGAATCACTTCAAGAATATTTTCGTTAGCCTCTTGCACACTTTATGTGGCTATACATTTGAATTTATGATGAACTGTCAACCACGGAACTACTAATACCAGTTAGAAAATAATATAGTGATTGATGACAGGATCCATAACAAATAAAGCCGTCAAGAATCTCTTCACCCACAAGCATGATAATCACTTATAAGCATGACACTAGTAATTATCTAAAAGTTTACTATCCAATATCCGCACAAAACTATCTGCAAACATAAAATAAATCTTCATAAATAAGAAAAAATAAAATTAAAAGAGAAGCAGAAGGTGATGCTAAAGAACAAAAAAAGAAAACAATACAAAGCAAATAAAAGGGGAAAAAGTAAAAAGTAAAAACGTAAAATGATGAGGGACTTCTAGTAAACTGATTACTAGAAACTTAGCAAACTTTGCCTGAAGAGTGAGAATTCTTTGGAGGTGTCAAATTAACCAAAATTTTAAATCCTATTAAAAAAACATGATGATTAGGAACCATTCAATATGTGGCTGACAAATCAAAAAAAAAAACCTAAAAGCAAAATACCTCGTGATTGTGTAAGCTGTGAAACCTGCTGACAGGCAAAATTCTAGGCAAGAGCTCCTCAACGTTAACTTTTGCATCATTCGAATGCCTACAAACTTCCCTTAGCTTTCGACCGCTTACTGCTTCCACTTCGGCCATAAACTTCGCAATAACGGGTCGATGGTCTGAAAGCTTTGCGTCTACCATCAAGTAACTCAACTGCGCCAACCCTTGTCCATGGGATAAGATTCGGTCACACCTGCAGATACACGAAATCCCTCATGAACAGGAACTAAATATAAAAGTTCTTCAGATGATCACAAACTATGCATACAGAACACACAAGACATGTCTAAAACTAACAGCTTTAGACCAAAGAGTGAGTTAAAACACTCGTGAATAGTTATTAAAGTAGTCTTCAGATCACAAGCATGACTTTATTAAAATATGGTATGTGGCTGACCGTAAACATTATCATCTAAAATATTTTAGAAAACGGTTGTGCTGCTTTTATGGGAAAGAGATAGAGGCTTCATTCACCAGGCGGGTGTCCGTCGCTTGTCTCCTTTGAAAGTATCTTCACCAAAGTATTCATCAGATTCCACCACAAACTTGTATGTTGGAGGAAAAGAAATAGCATCCTCATGCCAACCCTGAAAGACCCGCCCAGCATCTCTCTCTACTTTCAACTGAGGAACAAAAGTTTGAGCATTAGCTGCAAGTGAAATAGGGTTCATAGTAAAATCCCCAAAAAGGCATGCTCAACACTCAACAGTAAATCCCAGCGCCAAAGGTACTACAGCTGATTGTACGATAAAACAATCATCCTGGTAAATACTATCTTCTGTAAACTACCTAAAATGTCGAAAGTATTACCTGATCTTTAGGAAGAAGACTCTTCCAATCAGATTGGTTCACTAAAATCCATGTTTCCAAATCCGGTAGGTCAATACGATAGTTCAGGTCTCCCAACCATATAATTCGGCTGCACGTCATTAATTCAACACATCAAAGGATTAATACAAAGAAAATCAAATAACACACACACACACACACATAGTAGAAAACAAAAAAAACAAAAAAAAAATTAACTAGAGGCTTAAATGTAGTGCCTACAAGATTCCATCATCTACATTTATATAAAGCACCTGAAACGAGAACTATACCACAAGACACGGTTCCAAGATGTGGAACCTGGGATCACTAAAAACATATATTCACGGATAAATCTCAACCATTACAAACATTGCAGCATAAATTGAGCGGAGCAAGCGTGCTAATCAGAACGATACATACTCATGTCCCATAATTGTTTCTGGTAGCTTCACTCCAGAAAGTTTTACCAATCTAGGAAACGTGGTGCGACGAAGCACGTCAGCAACATCAGCATTCCGACGCAATTCATCACCTTCCTTGTGACCAGATGTCAAATGGGTACACACAAAGCAGAAGCTGGTTTGGTGAAGACACATACTGACAGAAACAGCACCCTGCACAGAAGCCTCTTTTGGTGAGAACTCTGCAAAGTATCTAGGGCAAGACAAAGGGATCCAATCTTAAAGCCTATTGTTGTCAATTAAATCACATTCACTAGGAGTATAACATGTAGGAACCAGAATTGCAGCAAGAACATGATCACGCAAAACGAGAGTTCTTCAAAAATCCACACCTAAACTGCAAAGAAAGTTTAAAACACACCTTATTCCTGAGAAAATTCAAAATTCCACAACCAACAACGCAAACTTTGACGTTGTTGACATAACGCCTTAGCTCTGTCCGAACCCATACAGATATAAATATCCCCACCATCTGCTTACTTGCAATCCGAACGTATCGGTTGCAAGAATGCTTGGTAGGAGTTGGAGAGGAATTGACTAGCAGAGATCCTCTAGTAACATCATCAGACACGGTGGCCTCGTAGAGCCAAGCCTCGGATGATTTGACATTCTTAGTCACTCTTTTTAGGGATTGATCCACATTCTTCAGTGCAGTTCTTTCCAAGGGCCAATGGTTATCGCTTGGATTTGGAAACTTCTGAAAAAGTAAAGTTGATTCAAGGGTTGCTTCAGCAACAGCTGTGTTTAATAAACCATTAACATCAGAAACCTCAGGAACGTCACTAATGTCTTCTTTCACATTCCACCTTGGAGACGTTGGTGCACTACAACTTCTATGAGGTCTCTCGCAACACTTCACACCGTTATTGAGAGCCTGCCGAATCAAGCCATCCCATACGACAGTAGGATGGTCGTCTTCGACACACAACACGTTGTTGGAATTCAGTGGCACAATCTCTTGAAACCTGAAAAAACCTCCACCCCATTTACAAGTAAGCACCGCAGTGCATAGGCTACAGAAGTAGACGACATGCTCCTAATCTTCTAAATATATCAATGTTCATTATATTGATTCTATCTGCGTCCTTTTCCCTCGACGTACAAATGAGAGAGGATATGTCCAAGCACCTCAAACAATGTGATAAGAGATACATACCCAAGGACATAGATGTCTGCAGGGTCGGATGAGTCTAAGAATCCATCTAAGTTAATATCTTCTGGAGGAAGTAATCCTCCAACATTCCAGGTTCCAACTGCAATCCTGTTCCATTCGAACAATGCGAGTCAGAAAAGGTGACAAGCAATCCTAGTTTAGAAGCTAGTCCTACCACAATTTAAATCTAAAAATGCAATGAGAATACTCAATAACCATCTCAATGTAAACACCTCAGGATTATCGATTCTCAGGAAATCAGCATGGTGACCAAACCGCGAAGGTCAAAAGATATTGTAAAGGAACTTACTTATATTCGTTGTTGACGACAAATTGCTCACGAAGAGTCTCGGACTGCACCCGCGGAAGTGGGTTTTTATTTGATACGTCTTTGATCAAAGAAACAAGCCACAACACCACTTCAGGAATGCACATAAATATACGAGTTACTAGTACGAAGACTACACAGAGGACATACACATTCATATTCTGAAACATCTGAAACACTGAAACAGGTGGTGACTTCTAATCCACCGGTGAATTCAATAGTGAAACCTCGATATGCAAATGTTAACGATAATACTGACCTGCGTGTTGTGCAGAATCTGTCTCAAAATCCGAATCGAGTAATCTCCTCGTATCCTCATCACCAGACTCGCCAACACCTGAAGATACACAGCAGACACTGACATGTTAACGTTCACACTGACCACCCGGTTTACGAAAACGAAGGCATACCGGCACCTTTCGAAAAATACACAGGGTCCGGTGGCACCACACACATTCCTTTCACTCGCTAGAACAGGGAGAACACGAGAGAAAATGGTGTAATAGAGATATTATTACCATCAGTATCTTCAAATTCTTCGGACTCGCTGAACTCATCGGCATCCGTTTCACAATCTCGTTCAAAGTCATCTCCAGTCTCTCTAAAGCTGATCCATTTTTTCAACAGTTGCCGAGGCCAGAACTGCAACGACCACAAACAAGTTTTTATTAAAGAGCTGCATGAATTCTTCGTGAGACTCAGCAAGAACAACTTGAAGACTAGAAAAGGAGCAACGACTTGTATCCTTCCATTAACAGTCGCTTAATAGACACTCCGTTCACAACCCAGAACAACATGCACGTTGCGAGAAATATGTAAACATAATTCAGCAGCAGATATGGTTATCGGGCATCATCGATCCAAGGGCTGAGCATCGCTCGGGCATATCCTCGCGTTGGAAGAGCAACGAACCCTAACTTTCCACTACCTAATCAGGGGATTGTACTCATATAATAAGAGTTTAATGAAAACTTTTTGAAGAAATTCTACGACCTACCTCTGGTTGCCTGTCTTGCATTGGATTGGTTGTTTGAATCCGGCGCTGAAGTTTATATATCTGCAAGAATTTGCCACGGGAAAAAGCACGATCAGAGCCTCAGAGCACTTTAAATCCGAACGTGTAGCATCTTTGAATTTGAAAGACCCCCGGTCCAAATAATAATAACTAGATTTAAAAAAATAAAATTAAAAAAAATGCAAATGTAAACCTCGGAAGAAAATCCAGCTCAGAAGAAACTGCAATTCTTAGCAACGGAATTTGTAACAAGGCAAGCAAAATAAGAGCAAGGGGTACTCTAAGTCTATGTTCAGAATGTTACAGATCGGCAGATTAGAAGCACAAAGCAGTGCGACTGAGCTTCGTTCGAGATCATTCCATCACGAATTACTTTTCAAACACGACCTTTTGAAACATGCGATGCAAACTGCGAGGAAATTGTCACGGAAAGTATGAATCGAAAAAGGATACGAGAGTGTTTAACATACTGTAAGCCCTGGAACCAACAATTACACATGACAAAAGCAAGACGTCAAAGCTAAAATATGGTTATTAACACGCACCCGAACTGGAGGTTCAAAAACCCGCTTAGGACGTTGAAAAATATCCAATTCCAAATGGTTGCTGGAATATCTCCTCAAAAGTCAAATATGTTCCACTAGTTCAAGAGTACTCTTTCCGGTACCATTACGAGATTCTTTTCATTTGGCAGCATTTTCAAGGTCGACGAGCTCCCTTCCTGAATTTTCCCTATCCAACCATAACCATCCGGCTCCGCAACCCCTTCGAACCTAACCAGATGGAAATTAAAAATACTCAACAAGGGTCTGCAGTGCTTCACAGGCGCTACCTACACTAGTCTTCTCTCTCAGACTAGACGCCTGTGAGGAAGAAATTACGGGCACACTAGATACCACAGTCGCGGAATGTGGTACAGCTTAGAATGCCCTGACTACTACGGGATGTCCTGCGACACACCGACAGCACTACCCCTGCAGTCCAATAGTTAGGGGCAAAAGGAGTGAAATTCGCGAAATCGAGAGATGTAAAAGACTGCAACCGCAGTGGAACAGAATCTATGGAAGTCTCCGTCGGACATTCCAGCGCCAACTTCGACGGCCAGGCATGAAACTGCTCGAACGTAGACCACTCAGCCAAAATACCGAACCCCACCTACATAGAGCGAACAAGATGAAGAAATCGAAGAGCTAGAGTCGGCTTGCCGAAAAGAGCAAATGCGATCTGTGAAACCCCTCGCAACACAGGAGCCGGAGTTGTACTGCTAGACATGAAAGTTGACAGCACAACCACACAATACACTCCTTAACCCGATTCCTGCAAATACCATCAGGAGTAGCAAAGCCCAAGATTCAGAGAAAACCAGAAAACCACCTGCGAGTCTTTGCAAAACGCTGCGCGTAATCTAAATTGTTTTTTTCTCCCCCTTGCTACAGATCTTTGCCTTTTCTCCGTTGATCGCGTAAACCAGAAGAAACTACACTAAAAATACACTTCTACGTCACAACGTAATACGAAGAGACTGCCTATTTATCCGCGGGAACGCCAAATTCTCGTCCAAGCTTGCACACTGCAACCCTCCACGAACCCTCCTTCAAGAGCGTCCCACACTCCACTCCACTCCACGAGTTACGCAGCCTCACGCGCTTCCTCGTCACAAGCCTAATACTCGCCAGTCAAATCCCCGCTCCCTGCCGTTGCGACCACAAACCAACTTGCGACACACCTTGAAACATCCCTCCCTCTCACCAGCAGATAAATGAAGGCAAAATCGTCAAAGAAACCTGCGTAACACACCACTCTCCCGGCAGTGGGAAGAGCAAGCAGGTGAGAGATCAGGAAGTGCACCGCGTGCAACGCCACTACAGACCCGGATCCAAGCAAGCAAGTCTTCTTCACCACTAAAGCTTTCACACTAGCGTATCGGAGCCGCAGCTGCTAGCTGTCTTTCACACCACATGAACTCTCCCAATTCCGAAACCAACGGGGCCAAGGGGGAAGGGGACTCGAGCAAACAGCTAGCTGCAACACGATTGACGGAGGGGGCGCCTTGCCGCTGCACGGCTCTTCTTCTTCGAGTCACAGACGCTGTTGGAAAAGGAGGAGCAATGGAGACGCAACAAAGATGTGATGCGCAAGCTGTAGTCTAGATCTGGGAGGAAACGATGGCGACCGCGAGACTCATGGCTCTTGAAAAACGATGAAAAGAAGGCGAGGGAGTGAAGAAGGGAGATGAAGGAAGAGCGAGCTAGCTGCCTCTTCTGCTTCTCCTTCTTCCTACTTTGTGTGTTAGTTTGTTGCATTTCGTTTCGTTTTGTTTTGTTTTTCTTGTACTTTATGCGTTTGTTTTAGTTTTTTCCATTTTCCGTTTCGTTCTGTTTCGTTTCGTTTTTTACACCTCCGCTGCCCTCGTGCCCCCTCTCTCCCCGCGGCGAACGAGACATACCGAGAGGGGCAGCCCTAGTTCTCCTCCTCTTTCGAGATTCTTTACACCTCCGGTGCTTCACCCAGCCTCTTGTTTTTTTCTGAGTTTTTTTTTTCTTTTTTTTCTTTTTTTTCCTGAAGCGTACTCCACGAAACCAGTGCAATGCGATTTCTCCCTTGCAAGTCACGATGTGCTCATAATAGATCTCGTCCAGGAATATTCGAAGCCTACACGGCATGTTACTAGGTTGTAGGCCATTTCGCATCTTGCGTGTAAATTCCCGTTGCCCGAAACGTGTTTCTGGAGCTAGGTTTCTTAGTTTTGAGGTTGCAATCGCTTTGTGCTCACACACGAGAAAGAGCTCCCTCCGAAACAATTTTTTTCTCACCGTAAAAAAAATCATACTCACTCACTCACTCACTCACTCGACCGATGTGTATTTCTCGAAGTGAGATACAAATTTCCCCGTTCAAATTCTCGTTGCATTTTTCACACCGCATTGATGAGCGGCGTCCCAACCAAGGCTTGCTTACTCCCCCCCCCCCCTCCCTCTCTCCCCCCAACGCCCACACCCTCAATGCTGGCCCTAATCGTTCCACTCACTCTGCCCTCATCTATAGCCATAAAGCCCCTCCTGCACACCTATAAAGTCACGCCTCCATTAATTTTACGGGCCATTAACACCACGTAAGAGAAAAAATAAAAAGGTTCTTAAAACTAAATAAATGTAAAAACGGGAAGATACTTATTATTGCTCACCTACACCCGCCTCCTCCTCGCCACTATCGTCGTCTCTCTCTCGTCTCTCTCTCGTCTCTCTCTCGTCGTCTCCGTTCATGAAGGTGGTGAGCAATAGGAAGGAGGGACAGCTTCCTGGAAGCCCTCGCTAGTGACTGAATTTGAATTCGGGAGGAGGACTGGCGTAGTTAGTAGAAGAGCGATTTGAACTTAGGAGGAATTCCCAAACCCAAGCCTTTTAAATTTCAGCAAATGCCGAAATTACCAAAATTAGCTTAATTTTGGCGCCAGTCTTTGATGAGATATGGAATTTCTAATAAAAGCCATAAAACAATAGTTTATGAGAAAAATCAACGGAATCACTGTTTTGAATGAATCGCACCTACCTTACTTGATACTGCAAAGAATTCATGTTGTTTCATTTGGAACACTCCTTTTAGAGCCAAACTCGGCAGCAATTGGCAAAACTTGTCCTTCTCCCGCTCCAAGTTTGAGAGCGGGAGAACACTTGAAACACTCCTTTTAGAGCCAAACTAGTCAACAATTGGCAAAACTTGTCCTTCTCCTGCTCCAAGTTTGAGAGCGGGAGAATACTTGGAACACTCCTTTATGAGCCAAACTAGTCAACAATTGGCAAAACTCGTCCTTCTCCTGCTCCAAGTTTGAGAGCGGGAGAACAATTGGAACACTCCTTTTAGAGCCAAATTAATCAACAATTGGAAAAACTTGTCCTTCTCCCGCTCCAAGTTTGAGAGCAAGAGAACACTTCGAACACTCCTTTTAGAGCCAAACTAATCAACAATTGGCAAAACTTGTCCTTCTCCCGCTCCAAGTTTGAGAGAGGGAGAACACTTGTAACACTCCTTTTAGAGCCAAACTAGTCAACATTTGGAAAAAACTTGTCCTTCTCCTGCTCCAAGTTTGAGAGCGGAAGAACACTTGAAACACTCCTTTTAGAGCCAAACCAGTCAACAATTGGCAAAACTTGTCCTTTTCCCGCTCCAAGTTTGAGAGCGGGAGAATACTTGGAACACTCCTTTTAGAGCCAAACTAGTCAACAATTGCCAAAACTTGTCCTTCTCCTGCTCCAAGTTTGAGAGCGGGAGAACACTTGTAACACTCCTTTTAGAGCCAAACTAGTCAACAATTGGCAAAACTTGTCCTTCTCCCGCTCCAAGTTTCAGAGCGAGAGAACACTTCGAACACTCCTTTTAGAGCCAAACTAGTCAACAATTGGCAAAACTTGTCCTTCTCCCGCTCCAAGTTTGAGAGCAAGAGAACACTTGGAACACTCTTTTTAGAGCCAAACTCGGCAGCAATTGGAAAAACTTGTCCTTCTCCCGCTCCAAGTTTGAGAGCGGGAGAACACTTCAAACACTCCTTTTAGAGCCAAACTAGTCAACAATTGGCAAAACTCGTCCTTCTCCCGCTCCAAGTTTGAGAGCGGGAGAATACTTGGAACACTCCTTTTAGAGCCAAACTAGTCAACAATTGGCAAAACTTGTCCTTCTCCCGCTCCAAGTTTGAGAGCGGGAGAACACTTGGAACACTTCTTTTAGAGCCAAACTAATCAACAATTGGAAAAAACTTGTCCTTCTCCGGCTCCAAGTTTGAGAGCGGAAGAACACTTGGAACACTCCTTTTAGAGCCAAACTAGTCAACAATTGCCTAAACTTGTCCTTCTTCCGCTCCAAGTTTGAGAGTGGGAGAACACTTGAAACACTCCTTTTAGAGCCAAACTAGTCAACAATTGGCAAAACTTGTCCTTCTCCCGCTCCAAGTTTGAGAGCGGGAGAACACTTGAAACACTCTTTTTAGAGCCAAACTAGTCAACAATTGCCAAAACTTCTCGTTCTCCTCCTCCAAGTTTGAGAGCGAGAGAACACTTGGAACACTCCTTTTAGAGCCAAACTCGGCAGCAATTGGCAAAACTTGTCCTTCTCCCTCTCCAAGTTTGAGAGCGGGAGAACACTTGAAACACTCCTTTTAGAGCCAAACTAGTCAACAATTGGCAAAACTTGTCCTTCTCCCGCTCCAAGTTTGAGAGCGAGAGAACACTTGGAACACTCTTTTTAGAGCCAAACTAGTCAGCAATTGGCAAAACTTGTCCTTCTCCCGTTCCAAGTTTGAGAGCGGGAGAATACTTGGAACACTCCTTTTAGAGCCAAACTGATCAGCAATTGGCAAAACTTGTCCTTCTCCCGCTCCAAATTTGAGAGCGGGAGAACACTTGAAACACACCTTTTAGAGCCAAACTGATTAGCAATTGGCAAAACTTGTCCTTCTTCCGCTCCAAGTTTGAGAAATATGACTCCATCAATGTTGTACTTACAAAAACACATTAGCCAATCATCCACAAAAATTGTGAAGGTGCATGAATTGGCCCTTAACATCATCCCAAGCATCATTCAACATGGTATTATGGTTGTGCCAATCAATACAAATTGTGATTGTGGCCTCACTATTATATGCTTTGATTAATAGCTCATGATCTATTTTATTTTTTTCTACATTCACTTCCAATTAGTAATTTCTAATGTGATTGCCATGAGGGTTAAGAACAATGTTGATGAATGTACATGTTTACATTTTGACAAGCATTGTAAGTATTATAGGTAAAACCTCCTTCATCAAAATATTATTATTTACATCTCGCTTTGCTTGAATGAATGATATTCCTTCAAACAAACATATTCCAAATTCAACAATTTCTGGAAGTGCATGGAATTACTCTTGAGTCGACAACAAAGCAAACATGTCAAGAACTCATGATCATAAATATGTGCAATGACGTTGTTGAGTTTTAACCACCAACAACTATGCATTTAGAACTCAAAAACATCTAAAAAGATATGATTGATGTTGGCTAATTTGATTCACATAATTGTACACAAATTCATGATTAAAATCTTTATCTCTATAATTTGCTACAATAGAATTATTTTTGGAGACTACAAAATGACCATTGTAATATTATAAATTTCTAATATGGGATGTATCTTGCCATGTATTATCTACCATAACAATGTTGATGTAGACACTTGATTAGAAGTTGCTTGAATTCATCTTAATGATCCTTTTTTTTTGTTACAATATTGATTTGATAAAGAAGACATAAAATATGAAGTATTTGTTTAATTGCTTTTTAGTCAAAAAGAATGGCTATGCCAATATGTCAACCTATCATGGTGATTTCACCATCTGAACTCAAGGCAATTAGTTTGTCCCACCAATCAGAATGTATGTTATCTAGCATTTTGCAAATAAGCAAGATAATATTCATAGTAGTATGATAGTCAAAAAATGGAACGGCAATCAAATGCAAGTTATATGGCACACTATTGATGTAAATTCGGATTTATATAACAAAGAATAATATCTTTGGCAATAATTGTATCCAATCAAGGCAAATGACCATACAAAATCATTACTAAGAATGTCTAAGGTGATTTGCAAGTTTATGCCAACAAAAAAACAAACAAACTAGTTGAATATGTGATCATTGAGACTAGCAAATTTTGGATTTTTGAACTTTTCATTCTAATGGCTGATGATCATAGTAGTTTGTCCGAAAGAAAGATTAATTGATTTATGCTTCAAAGCAAGTTCAGATCTGGTGGGATTTTTTATCTTCACAAAATATAAATCATTTGGTTGTTTATAGAACAATTTCAATGGATTTCTCATTGTGATGATTTCAAAATCATCCTCTTCTAGATGGAAGAATGAATCACCAATGATGTTTTCAACAATTGAAGCCAAAATATCAAAGTGGAGCTAATTGTTGGAGCTATCCAAAAATGTATCTATAGTTGACTTCTTCTTGTCCATGACGTATGATTTCTTTGCTTTGTTGGTTAACAAGTAGTATACTTCCTCTGTTGGTTAACAGAATATTGGCATTCATTGTCATTGCAATAATTTTCTTTGTGGAACTCTCGCTTGTAGAATTGAACATTTACAATGCTGCGACGCTTCACGCCAGGCCCATCTCTGTCTTCACGACCACTAATCACACAAAACAAACATTGAACCGAAAAAACAGCCCCATGAACATCGTGAGAACAAATCTCAACTCCAAATTCAAGAGCATGCTGAGGCTGGAATGGCATATCGCGCTTTTAC